TTTCCAGAACAGCTCTGAGTTTCAAGAATACTTATTTTTCTCATTTAACATGTATAGTGTGTTCATGTGTGTGTAGTTGCATGATTCGTGTGTGTGTGTGTGTGTGTGTGTGTGTGTGTGTGTGTGTCTAGGACAGGCATCATTCTTCAGACACTGTCCACCTTATTTTTTGAGACAGGGTCTCTCATCAGCCCGGAGCTCACTGAACAGTAATCTCAGTGCTCTGAGATTATTGTAAGGTGTTGCAAATTATTTTGCCTCTTTGATTCTCAGTTTTCCCATCTGAGAAATAGGCATGACAATAAAGGAATGCTTCCCTCACAAGATAGACCCTGGCCAAAAGCTTATAGCTATGCTTGTTAGAGTTCCTAGCCATTGGCCAAGTAGAAGGAACACTAAGACTAAGACAATTAAAGTACAAATACCCATCCAGTATCACCAGACAGAACAGAATGTGGTGTGGAAGAATCGTCAACAAATGAGGATGGCATTCTGATAAAACTTTATTTATAAAGCAGGGTGACAGGCTGGATCTGGCTGTTGGCATTGCCAGCTCCTTATATTTTGTTCATTCATTAATTTATCCAATGTTTATTGAATGTCTCTTTTTTTTAGGGACCTTAGAAAGAAACTCACAGCATCTGCAAACGACCACGGTCTTAGAAGCCTTGGCGAACACTAGCAAAATGATGAACACATCCAAGCAGAGGCACTTCTCCTTCCACAGCATCTTGGCTGTGCAGTCTAAGAACCACATAATGAAATGAAAAACAAACAAACCAAAAAAATGTGAGGAGAGAGTTGGGAGAGATGGCTGCTGCCAGGAAGGAGGGATTCACTGACCCCCCCCCCAAATCTGGGCCATCTCAAGAGAAGTTGGCCACTGGTTAAGCCTCTTAAAAAGCTTAAAAGTCATCCCAGGCCACGGTTAAAGAGAAAGCTCGAACAAAACAAAAACAAATGTGATCTTCAAAGTCTTAAATGTCAACTTGAAGGATAACTTAGAAGCTCTGGGATGGGCAAGAGGCCCTGCAGCTGCTCCCTCCAGCACTGGATGCCCCTTCCATCTTAAGAGTCAGCACTTCCCTGGTTAATGTATCAAGCAGGGTTCAAGGGGCAGCCTGCCACCCATATGTACTAGATGTCTACACTCTCTACAGTCCCCACAAGTAGGGGCTGCCTAGCCAACATCTACCCCAGGCTTTTCCTCTAAGACCCCATTGGTTTCTGATTGCTCTTCCCTCCCCCACCTTGCCAATCTTCCCATCCTCCAAAAGTGCAAGTGCAGGCACACATGGACACACACACACAGAGCCTGTCCAGCTGCCTTCTCCCTTCCTGGACAGCTCAAATACAAGAGGGGTTTCCAAGATGCCTCGCCCTCAGGACAACAGCCTCAAGCACATTCATGGGCAGTTTTCACTGGTCACCTTTTCTATAGAAACTAGGGATGACCTGAAGTCATTGGCCTGGGGTCATGGAAAACACAAGGCCATATTACAGGGGGAGGGCGCCCTTTCCAAACCCTACAAGCTCCTGAAGACTGAAAAACTGAACCATAAAAATACAATATTCCCTTTATTAAGCATCTACAATATCCCTGGCTCTGTTGTTTGTCCTCATGCATAAAAGTCCTTTGTGCAGGGACCCTGGTCCCTATCTCCATTCTCCAGATGAGGAAGCAGAAATGCAGGAAGACCAGTGTCCCAGGCGCTCCTGTCTACCCCCAGAACAGGCTGCTTGGGAGTCTGCACCCTTTCCACGGCATAGGCTGCTTTTGAAGGCCAGAGCGGAGTAACAGAGGAAGCTCTACGCAGGGTGTCTGTCTTCAGCCATTGGAGCCAGCGACTACCCCTGTGCTGTTCTTTCTTCTAGGTGTGTTTGCCTCTGGGACCTTCTGGGATGGTTCAGATGCATCCTTGTTAATAAACCAATCAGATCTCAGAGAGGAGAAACAGCTTGCAAGAGACTGCAGCTGATGGAAAAAACCCTAGTGTCAGTGGCCTTGGAATTCATCCCTAGTCTCAAGTTGATAAAGTATCTCTCAGAGAAAACCCCAGAGAGCCAGGATTCCACAGGTGCTCCCAAGAAACCCCACATTTCAAAAGAACTGAGAGTCTGCTTCTGGCTCTGAGTGGGCCCTGTGGAGTCATGCGGTGGGGACAGGAATATTTGGGTGAGTTCTCCTGTGGGTCCCCTTCTGCCCTTCAATATTAACCTTTAAATTTTATTTATTTATTTTATTATATATGTATGAGTGTTTTGCCTGCAAGTATGTAAGTGCACCACATGTGTGCAGTGACTGAGGAGGCCAGAAGAGGGTGTCAGATCTCTTGGAACTGGAGTTACAGATGGTTGTTAGCTGCCCTGTGGGTGCTGGGACCTGAACCCAGGTCCTCTACAAGAGCATCCAGTGCTCTTAACCACTGAGCCATCTCTCTAGCACCTCTGTTCATCTCTTACTCTGGATCTAAGGCAATGTTCAGTGGTGGGGACTGTTCCTGGTATTAAGTCAAAAAAAAATGTTGGAGGACAGGATATGGGGAAGAGGACAAGGAGAGAGCGTGAGCACTTTCTCACAGAAAGCTGTGTAAGTTTAGTTTCCCCCACTCAGCTGTGCCCTGAGTCCTGCCCTCCCAGCCTCCACATTCCCCAGGCCTAAAGTCTAAAAGGGATTTTTCTCTCCTCTTTTTGTCCTGATGGGGGCACAAGTATTCCCTTAGTCTCTGAGGATCTGGAGGAAAAGTCGGGAACACTCAGTTAAGAGTTAGAAGCTACAGCGAAAACAACTCCCAGAGAACAGTTGTGTTTTTTGTTTTTACTTTTTTAAAGGAAGAAATGGGAGTGGGACAAAGTTCAGGGCATAGATGAAGGAAGCTGTGCTTCCCTGGGCATGGACAGACACCACAGTCACGTCTGTGCACACACAGGCACGCATGTGCATCCACAAATGCAGCCACCTCTGTTTACACACACCCCTGCTTCTCCTGCCCACATGACTTCCTTCTCCATCACACTTGGGCAGCAAAGGAGCCCATTTCTGACACTTCTGCCTGCTCAATCTTTTACAGTACTTCCCAGGGGGTCAATTTGTAGAATTTCTGAAATCCTCTCCAAATCTCAACTTCCTGTGGGTCTGTTTTTATTTCCAGATTTCCTTCCCCTAGTCCCTCAGCCTCTCTCTCTCTCTCTCTCTCTCTCTCTCTCTCTCTCTCTCTTTCTGGGACATAGGGTGAGCCCAGTCTTCCTCCCATCCAAACATTGTTAGTTGGCTCCCTTGCAAAATGTAAAACCAGAGACCCAGGCAGAGAGCACAGCTGCCAACCCAAGCCCTCTCGCGGTGGATTCCTTGTTTGTGATCAGCTTCAGTAGCTGTGGTGCGCCCTGCAGTCTTGTACTAATGGGCCCCATGGTCACCGAAATACAGCCCTATTCACACACTCTTAGGGACAACCTGAAAACCAAGAAACAGAGCCACACTCCGAAGGCACAAAACAGAAAACTTGAAAAACTTTTTCAAGTCAGAAAGTTGCTTTTTCTTCTTCCCGTGTGAGTTTCAAGGCAAACCTCCCGGGGACTCCACTCTGCAGAAACACGATTTCCCTTCCCACCCTCCCAGGAACTTTCCCTGCCTTCCACAGGACTGTAGAGAAGTGGCCAACAGGGAGAGAAGAGTTAAATCAAGCCCAGACTTCAGCAATCTGTGTTCAATTTTGATAAAAATCTCACTCGCTCTCCCCCGCCGCCCCCTCCCTCTGCCCCACAGCTCAGACAAGTCTCTTTATGTTAGTACTTTACATCTTGTTTTGGGCACTGCAGCCAGAGACTCTACCAGAGAACTTGGAGTTTTCCCCATCGTGGGTACATGGGGCAGAAACATCCATCCAGTTGCTGAGGCCAGACTGAACACAGCTACACAAGGGCTACCACCATCACCTCCATCATCATCATCACCCTCTATCCTCCTCCTCCTCCACAGGGGGCAAAAATACCCACCTAGCTCCTGAGGCTGGGCTAGACACAGCTGCAGGGCCAACACCACCACCACCATCATCATCCTCCCTCCTCCTCCTCCTCCTCCTCCTCCTCCTCCTCCCCCTCCTCCTCCTCCTCCTCCTCCTCCTCCTCCTCCTCTTCCTCCTCAGCCATCACCACCACATGGGGGCAGAAACATCCACCCAACTCCTGAGGAAGAGCTGGACACAGGGTTATAGCAGAGCCATCCTCCTCCTCCTCCTCCTCCTCCTCCTCCCCCTTCTCCTCCTCGTCGTCGTCGTCCTCCTCCCCCTCCTCCTCCTCCCCCCTCCTCCCCTTCCTCCCCAGTTACCTGTAGCCAGACCAGCTCCTTCATGGATTGTCAGAGTCCCATCACTAGGGAGGTTAGGCCATAGCTCAAGAGGAGTTTGCACTGCCCCATAGGTACTTAAGGCTACAACCTGGAGAATTCCTCTCTAGAGATGCTCCATAACTGCCCAAGGTCCCACAAGAGCCTCTAAGCAGCACTGTCCTGCCTGCTGACCAGAGTCCGGCCTGCAAGTTGGAGCTGGGAGCTTGGGAAGAGTTCAGTCCACCCAAGTGAGTGCACACACCAAATTGAGAAAAGTAGTCACCAAAAAAGTTGTCAACTTTTTCGGGGGCGGGGGCGTGAGAAGGGGGCAGCTTCGTTTGTTCACTTATACCAACAAGGAGTTCGATTCCAAAGCTATGAAAAAAGTTTTCCAAAGTTTTCCAAAACCGTGCCTCGTGTCCAGACGCACACACCCCCCCACACACACAATCACACACATACACAATCACGCGTGCAAACCAGCCCCCCGCAGGCAGCCCACTCCGGGGTCTGCATCTTTGCAAACACTTTGGAGAAACAAAACAGGCAGCTCGTGGGTGGTGGATGAGCTGCGTATCGGATGCGAGCTGCGCTCCAAAGAAAAGTGAAGGGACAGAAAAGTGTGGGGATGTCGCCCCGCGCGTCCGGGTCCCCAGCGCGGCACTGCACCTACCCCGAGGCCCTCATGGCGCGGCGCGGCTGTTGCAGCCCCGGCTCCCCGCAGGCGCCGCGTTCCGGTCGCTCTGCTTAGTCCTCCGCAGCTCCGGACTCCAGAGAAAGCAGGCTTGCTCCCCTCCCGGCCGGCCTCTCGCCGCCCGCCCGCCCCGCTCTGACGTCAGGCGCCTTGCAAGCCGGGGATATTTATGGCAAGGAGACTGGCTTTTCCTCTAGGTGCCGATCGGATGGCAGCAACTTGGGATGTGAGTTGTAATTTTCACACTTGGAACCTAACAGCGGACTGGAGGGAGAGTCCAAGCAGCAGGCTCACAAGGAGGGTCGCTGTTCCCCCACTTTGGCATGGGGCCTTTCTGGGGGCTCCTTCTGTTTTGGAAACATGTCAGGGTCAAGGAGGCAGAAGTGGTCACTTGAGCAGGAGTGCCCCCCTCTCTTCCTGGACAGCTAGCAGAAGGGCTTGTGGGGGCCCCACCTAGAGGGACCATGGAAGGTGCTGGCAAGACAGAAGAGCCAGCAGGCACAACGGACGAACTCATTAGGAGCCCTGTTCCACACCCTAACAACTTATCCATTTCTTCTTTGGGAGTACATGTATATACTTTTTTTAAAGTTTATTTTTATTAAATTACGCACCACACTCCCTGCCTCTGTATAGCTTTTCCAACTCAGAGCTAGTCAATTCATCTTACCCCATTTGAGATGTTCACAGTAGCTCATCTATTTATTTTATGTATATGACTGTTTGGCCTGCACTTAAGTGCACCCACATTGTGGCAATGCCTGAGAAAGCCAGAAGAGGGCGTCGGATCACCTGGACCTGGAGCTACCTGCAGTGGTTCGGGGCCATGTAGGTGCTGGGAATCGAACCTGGGTCCTCTGCAAGAGCAGTTGATGTTCTTATCCACTGAGCCATCTCTCCAGCCCCTTATTCATACTTTTTAAAACTTGCATCTAACTTTTTATAAATGGGGTTGTGGAGGTGTCGCTTGTACCAGATAAGAAATTGGCCATAGTGAAGAGCAACTTTAGCAGTGCACAGATGGTCTTGTCTGAATCACCCACACTCAGAGGTCCCTCTGCCAGCAGATGATGCCCACAGGTCCCCAGTCAATCAAGGCTGCCACTTCCTCCCATAGTCCAACTGCTGTTATCCCTGCAACAACTTCTGTCCCTCTTCTCCAATTGCTTATTGTCTGTATTGACCAGCACATAACAACTATTAAACAAATGGTACCCATTATCATTATTATTACTGTAAAGAAACTGATGCAAAGAAGATATGAAGGTATAAGAATTTTTAAATATTCTTCACATTTATTTGTGTGTGTGTGTGCAGAGTTCAGAGGACAACTTGTCAGAGTTCGCTCCCTTCCATAGTGTGGGTCCTGGGGATTGAACTCAGTTGTCAGGCTTAGCAGCAAGCTCCTTTACCTGCTGAGCCATCTTGGTGGCCCTGGTGTAAGAATTTTTCAACTGGTTCATTTCTGGTTTCAGGAGCTATAGTAGACCCTCCCCTCTTGGAAATCACCCTGCAGGTCAATCTAATTGTTCACAGTCAAAAAGAAATGCAAAAAGAGAAATAAGCAGCTACAGACCAAACAGGAATGAGGGGAGACTCAAGGTATTTATGAGAACCTGTCTGCAAGACAGATAACACTGAGCAGCTTCATCCCAGGAAATGTGAGGGAAAGGATGGATTTGAGAAAAAGATGATATGGGGCTGGAGAGATGATTCCACATCTGGTTGCTCTTACAGAAGACTCAGATTCGGTTCCCAGCACCCACAAAATAAAAAAATTAAATTAAAAAAATTATAAACAAAATAAGGTAAGAAAATCAGAGACTTAGGGGTAGCAAGCATCAGTCATGACAAAAGATGGGAATAGGGGAGAGACAGAATGTTCCAGGTGGGTGATGAAGGGGTGGGGTGTCTCCATGACCCCTGTCCAGGTGATCTTACCCTGGTTGTGTTGGGGTGAGATGTGAGAGAAGTTCCTAAGGTATGTGCCCCTTGATGCTGTGGAGATGTTATTGATGATGTGGAGATGTTGTTATTGATGCTGTGGAGATGTCATTCATGCTGTGGAGATGTTAGTGATGATGTGGAGATGTTGTTATTGAGGCTGTGGAGATGTTATTGATGCTGTGGAGATGTCATTGATGCTGTGGAGATGTCATTGATGATGCGGAGATGTCATTGATGATGCGGAGATGTCATTGATGCTGTGGAGATGTCATTGATGCTGTGGAGATGTCATTGATGCTGTGGAGATGTCATTGATGCTGTGGAGATGTCATTGATGCTGTGGAGATGTCATTGATGCTGTGGAGATGTCATTGATGCTGTGGAGATGTCATTGATGCTGTGGAGATGTCATTGATGCTGTGGAGATGTCATTGATGCTGTGGAGATGTCATTGATGCTGTGGAGATGTCATTGATGCTGTGGAGATGTCATTGATGCTGTGGAGATGTCATTGATGCTGTGGAGATGTCATTGATGCTGTGGAGATGTCATTGATGCTGTGGAGATGTCATTGATGCTGTGGAGATGTCATTGATGCTGTGGAGATGTCATTGATGCTGTGGAGATGTCATTGATGCTGTGGAGATGTCATTGATGCTGTGGAGATGTCATTGATGCTGTGGAGATGTCATTGATGCTGTGGAGATGTCATTGATGCTGTGGAGATGTCATTGATGCTGTGGAGATGTCATTGATGCTGTGGAGATGTCATTGATGCTGTGGAGATGTCATTGATGCTGTGGAGATGTCATTGATGCTGTGGAGATGTCATTGATGCTGTGGAGATGTCATTGATGCTGTGGAGATGTCATTGATGCTGTGGAGATGTCATTGATGCTGTGGAGATGTCATTGATGCTGTGGAGATGTCATTGATGCTGTGGAGATGTCATTGATGCTGTGGAGATGTCATTGATGCTGTGGAGATGTCATTGATGCTGTGGAGATGTCATTGATGCTGTGGAGATGTCATTGATGCTGTGGAGATGTCATTGATGCTGTGGAGATGTCATTGATGCTGTGGAGATGTCATTGATGCTGTGGAGATGTCATTGATGCTGTGGAGATGTCATTGATGCTGTGGAGATGTCATTGATGCTGTGGAGATGTCAATAAGGTAAGAAAATCAGAGACTTAGGGGTAGCAAGCATCAGTCATGACAAAAGATGGGAATAGGGGAGAGACAGAATGTTCCAGGTGGGTGATGAAGGGGTGGGGTGTCTCCATGACCCCTGTCCAGGTGATCTTACCCTGGTTGTGTTGGGGTGAGATGTGAGAGAAGTTCCTAAGGTATGTGCCCCTTGATGCTGTGGAGATGTTATTGATGATGTGGAGATGTTGTTATTGATGCTGTGGAGATGTTATTGATGATGTGGAGATGTTGTTATTGATGCTGTGGAGATGTTATTGATGATGTGGAGAAGTTGTTATTGATGCTGTGGAGATGTTATTGATGCTGTGGAGATGTTATTGATGATGTGGAGATGTTATTGATGCTGTGGAGATGTTATTGATGATGTGGAGATGTTATTGATGATGTGGAGATGTTATTGATGATGTGGAGATGTTATTGATGATGTGGAGATGTTATTGATGCTGTGGAGATGTTATTGATGATGTGGAGATGTTATTGATGCTGTGGAGATGTTATTGATGCTGTGGAGATGTTGTTATTGATGCTGGTGAATCCCAAAGGAGTCCATCAAGTGGGATGGCCCATCTCCAGGTTATCTTATACCCCCACCCCGACCCTATCACACCAAGAGTCCCAATGGTGAGGTGAGGGTAAGTGTCTTTCCTTTTTTCAAGGCCACCCAGAGGGGCTGCTATCTTCCAGGACCTCTCCCTGAACATACAGCAAGACTCTGTGAAGTACACTGCTCACCTGGAAAATTTCTTGCTTAGAGCAGGTATCTCAGTAAGCTTGGCCCCCACTACGAACTTCCAAAGGGCGACCTATCCTGGTGGGAAGCAGCCTTCTTGAGGCCCTCTCTTTGCTCACTCAAGGGCTCTTAATCTAAACTGCAAACGCCATGCAGCACTCAGGAAAGATGTTGAAGATCAAGAATCCGATAATCACATGATCCAACAAGGAGGAGGCTGTCCGTGAACCACACATGACTGCCCTTGCTTTGCTGGCAGCCTATGAGGAGACCTGAAGTGTTAAAATCAGAGACCTTGTTGAACCCCCGCAACCCCCACAACCCCCACTTCTTAGTCCACCACATCAGCTAAAGGACTTTCTCAGGCCTAGTGTTTGTAATGATCAATCTCATGTGTTAACTTGGCTGGGCTGTGGTGCCCAGGTCTCTTGTCAAGCATTAATCTGGTTGGTTCTATGATTTTAGAATGAGATTAATACTTAAATGGGTCGACTTTGAGGAAAACAGATGACCCCTCCCCCACAATATGCCTAAGCATCATCCAGTCTATGAGGCCTGGAAGACACTGAACAAAAATGAAATCCCTACGCTCCACACCCCTGCCAAAAATAAAAATTCTACTGGCAGACAGGCTTTGACCTGGAACTAAACTCTTTCCTGGATCTTCAGCCTGCTACCTAACACTGCAGCCTGGGGCCTCACCAAGCCTCCATGTTACATGAGCCAATTCCTTAAACTCAC